CCAACTTCTATGTATCGATACGAAGCGTGGACGAAGATCAAACAAACTAAAATGTTACCACTACAGTAATATTTTATATTTTAATTTGTTGTAAATAATAATGATAAAAAGAAAGCTGTCCTAGGATAATGGGGACGGTATTGTAATGTAGTCACTATTATAGTCAGGAAGTTAGGAAGTTATGTTTTAGACGGGAATTAAATGTATATCTGTAAGTAAAAATAAACCTTAATTATCGAAAAGCGATTCTGAGCAGAGTTCGGTTGATAGTGTTGCTTTGTCATGTACATGGTAACATGTCATATTATGGTAAAATAATTACATATATGCATTAAACATTTTCTTTAATAATAATTGTTTAATATTATTAAACCTATGTTTCTGTTTTTCCTACGTTTTTTCCCAGTTTTTCGCATTTATTGGGGAAACTTCTGGGAAAATCAAAAAATGACCTGCTTAAAATACCTCCTCACTTCAATTTCCTTTTAAAAAAAAATTTTATCACTGTAAATCGGAACAAAATGGCTGGTAGAAAAGTTGTCTATAGAAAAAAAAAATAAACATCATAGTAAACCAATACTCTTTCCACTCAGAATCTAAAACTGTGTATAATATATTCGTATATTTATAAATCTTATTAATTGATAACCCGGGTTTCGAGCGTTTTCGCGAATTTCCGTCTCGATTGTAATATTGTCCTCTCATCGAGCGCATTCCTTCACTGCTTGTTCGGTTAACTACATTTAAATGTACCTGCAGCAACATCCGCTTAAATTATATATAGCTGTACTATATTGTATTGTGTTTCACCCGAATAATTCTATTATAAACATATTATAGATTAAGTAGATAATATTATATAGAGATGTATCGTTGAAGAGTACACGGCGATTGAGTATCGGTATGCGTATACAGATATATATATATATACACATATATTTCCATATGAATAATAATTAAGCGAATTATATAATATACGAGTATCATTCAATGTTGGCATATTAAAAAGAAACGAGTGATAGCGGAGAAATACGGAGAATGGAAAAGAGAGAATTTTCTTCTCTATTGAGTTTTGAAGTAAATAAAAAAAGCAACCCAAAAAAAAGTATCTAGTGATATTTCAATTAAATCATTTTTTCTGGTAGAAAACGTCGTCCGCGTTTTTATAAAATAATGAATTCGTGAAATTGTACGTTTTTCTACGTTTTTTTTTTCCACTTAAGTGCTTTTATTTAAAAAAAGGCATTTAATATCAAAAAATGACCTCTTTAGAGTATAATATAGACAACTTGAACTTTCAAGAAAAATTGCTACACGTAAAAATCGGAGTAAGTTTACCAGGAAAAAACGTGTCTACAGACTAAAATAAAGAACAAAGAACAAGAAAAAAAAGAAATAAACAGTTTTTTAAAACCAATAATTCCCTCGCTATGCTCGGAATCTAAAATATGACGAGAATATAAATTATTTCTATTAAAAAACGATAATTGCACGATAAACTGTAGTTAAAATCAGATAACTAATGAGTAATGAGTCTAATAATATTTCTCTTGTATCCGCGAGGAAAATCCAGAAACTGAAAAAAATTAAAACCTATGTAAATTATCATTTTTATTTTCAGCCTATTTAAAAAAAAAAAATATTTGAAAAAATTGTGAGGAATCAAGAAAAATATTTTAAATAAAATACCACTGGAAGAAAACCACATTTTCTAAGGTGTTTTTCGATTGAGAAAAAAATTGTTAGCAAAACTTCGTTTTTACTATAAACTTACTGTCGGCAAGTTAGTTTTCGACGAAGGTATTTACCATTTGCACTCACTAACACAATAAAATTAATTTATTAGATAATATACAATATTATTGTTTCAAAAAGTGTAATATACTCGATAACTTTTGTGACAAATGATTTGCATAAGAAATTATCGTCATAACGTATTATGTGATTTTTGCTTTAATATAAACATTTGTATAGTAACACTTAAACTTGACCTTTGTTAAAGAAATAATAGCATGCAACTCGAATTTAACCCATAAAATGTCAAAGTAGAAATTAGTCAAGTAAGAAAATTTAGTTTTGATTTTTTTAGTAATGTACAATATATAATAAGAACACCTCTAATGCTTTTTCCGAAATATCTATCAGAAAAATATATACCAGAGATTTAACAAAAAAAATGCGCGGAAATATTCTCTTTGTATATTTTAATTCGGGCGTTTTATCTCTAAAATATACGTCACCTGAGAAGGTACAATTTTAAGATTTGCATGAACACAGCATATTTTTGAAAAAAAATGTCATAATTACACAACACTTATTTGGCCCTATTAATATTATAAATTTATTTAAAAAAGGATTATTCTACATCGGATTTTGGGTCAAATGTAAGCGATAGTCGACTAATCTAATCGAAATACGAGTGCAGCATAATAAGTATAGATATCGTTCAAAATATTCCAGAAGACGACGGTGCTGACAAATTTTAGTGACGAAATATAATAATGATAAAATATCCCTATAATAGGACCCGCGAAACCCGTGTGAGCGAACGTATGACAGAACATTTTCGTTCAACAGTGAAAACTTTGTGCTGTTTATTTTAATATTAAAGTGAACTGACCTATTATCAAACTTAAAGATAAGAACACTATCTATGCAACTGCAATTTGTTCGATATTTTATGTAAAACACGAGCACTATGTGAAATATCACAGTTCAAAAACACTTAAGTCTCGCTTAAAATTTAATATATCGAAAAAAACAACATTCCCTTTTTAAAAAACCAATTACGCACAGATAATGTTCTTGTCTTTATATTTGCTAAGTCAATTCATTTAAATATCAAAGCTAATGGTTGGTCTTGCTAAACTCAAATAAGCTTGTGAGTTTGTAGGATGAAGACAGCATATGCGTGGGTGCATCATATTATTTAAATAACGGAATTATTACAGCTGTAGCGGGGGCTATCATAATTTTTTTAACTAGGACTTAAGGGATACATTATTAGGCACTGTGCAACACTAATTCGTTTGTTATTTACAATGCTGCTGTGTCTGCAGCAAAACGACATAGACGATAGACATCGACGAATCGCCCGAATAAATAAAAACATTTTGATCGTCTCGCCCACATTCTATAATAACAAAACAGAAATTTACATCCTAAAATCTTAGTCTAATAATAAAATTATTCGGATTATAAGATGATAACAAAACTCTGATTTTATTTATACTTATATTTAGAAAACGTTTTACATACATTTTATACAGAATTCGACTTTATGTGAAATGTATAAAATGTAATATATTTGATGTAAAATACTTTTGATAAGATAATAATAATAAATTTCAAAAATAAAATTATCTTATAAAATACTATGTGGGTATAGTCACCTGCCCTTTAATATATAAATGAACGGGTGATACACATTTTCCAGACCTTGACTCACCGAAAACAAAACGTTTACTGATTTTCGTGAATCATAATCAATATAATTATATTGTTGAACCTATCGTTTATCGAAATATGTATTAGGGTTAGGTTTAACCAGCTGAAGACAAATTAATTACTTATTCGGATTTAAATATTACGTACAAAGCACATTCGGTATGTTATAATATATAATGTATTGTAAAATTTTAACATAATTATGTATCAATATATTATATAAATATTATAATTTGTATGCTATCACTCAGTTATGTGATTATTCAGGAGAAGCCATCCCTGTAACAAAATTATCATAGATGGGTGAGTAGATGGTTTAGTGTGTACTAAACATGCATCTGAAATTGATAATTAACTAGGTTATAACTAGGTTAAAAAAATAGTATAATATAATAGACTAGATTATGAGTAATGGGTATACTATAATACTATATGCACTTATACCCAAATCCTAAAATATCCAAATTTTCGTATTACGTACATAAGCCCAAATAGACCAAATCTAAATAATAAATCAATGTTTTCAAAATTGGCCTCAATGTTCATTTATGGATTTCTCTAATTAAAAACACATAATATACTTTATTAAGTAGCAAAATTTTAGGAGCATATTAATTGATGATTCCATGATAATACAATTTCAAAATTCATTAGTAAAAACAAATAAATATAGTATTTTGTATTTTGAGAGTTTTTACTGGGTATTATTGTATAGTGTTTTTAAATTCCATTCTTATTAATATTAATATGTGTAACTACTTTGTAGAAATAGCTGCAAAATAGGATTTTAAAGTACATTTTATACACTATTTTTTTTTAAATAATTCAATGCTTATCGACGTTATTGTTGATTGCATAAATAAACCTATCAGCCATCTGTAAGTAAAATTGTCAGTTTCGAATAATTTCAGGTAGGTATATAATTTAATATAAACAGTTTAACACAATATATTTTATTTTAATTTACATACAAGTTTCGGGAAACTATGTTAAAAAATAAAAATAAATATTTATTATACCTACATTATGTATATATATATATTAATTTTATCATTTGTATACTTTTGAGGTAGGTATAAGTTTACTATATAGGTGGGTATATTAAATCACCAAGATTTTAGACTGTTTATCAATTACACTAGCGTAATCAATATCAATATCTTGATCACAATTTATCCTCATCAGTGATTCTAGTCTATCATTGGACGTGGTAGAACGAAGTTTTTTTTAATAATTTTAAGTTTGGAAAAAATTCTTTCCCTCTCTACATTTCCCACTAGTAATGTTAATGCAATTTTGTACATAGTAAACAATGTTGGAAACATAATTTTAAGAGAACCGTGATTGCAAAATAATCTGAAATAACAAGTTTATTTTATTTAGGAAATATTCAAATACCTAAACACAGCAGTTAATATAATATTAATCAATACCAAACTATTCTTTTAAAATATTCCAATTTGGATAAAATAAATTTTATATTTTATATTGTTATTGTATTTATATTTATTTTAAATTTTTATATTTTATATAATATATATTATACCTGTATATTACAGTAAGATTTCAATGATTTTTTTATGTTTTTTTTCTGATACATCATTATCTTTATCTTTGTTTGAAATTAAATAGTTGTCATTTTCAGAATCTAAATCCTCTTCTTGATTTATATCTTCTAAACAAACTGTAGTATTTTTGTTATCATGAAGCATGTTTGACAAACTTTTACATTTTTCCAATAATTCAAAATAATTACAAAATTCTATATACTTATATCTATCATTATCTGGTTGAACAAATTTTGAATAAATTTGTCCAAAAACATTAAAAGTATACACTCTAAGATTTTTAATATTTTGTTCTTCTTCATTCAACTTTTTCTTAGACAGAAGAATTATTATCTTTTAATAAACCAAGGGTAGTTTTATCAAGATTTTTTGAGTTATTTAATGAATTATTTTTGTTGCCAATGAAATTTTCTGTTAACTGAGTTATTATACAGTCCAAAGCTGAAAATTATGTATTAATTTTATTTTATTAACTTTGAAAAGTTTTATAGGGTGAATTATTACTTCATTTCTAGCATTTTCATTAGCCATTTGTTTTCGATTACGAAATCTTTGTTGAGGTAAAGATTCAAACTAGTAATTACTATTTATAATGAACTTTTTTGTTTGATCAGTAATTTCATTAAATAATTAATTTGTTCAAAGTTTATCTAAGGATTCCAAATTGTCTTCTATAAGCACGGTAGCACAGTAAATATTAAAATCTGGACTTTGGAAGTGTTGAGATGTTTTATCTAAAATTTTAAACATACTTTCAAAGCTATAAGCTAATGCAGCAATAACACAACCTCTAAACACTAGATGTTATAATTTTGTATAAAACATAAAAAAAATTACATAATATTTTAGATGAGTGGTTAAAAAGTTTTTAAAAGGTGGGTGCTTCGAAAATGTGTTTACCCCTACTAAGTAAAATCATCATGTTATGAACCATTGCTATGACAATATAATCGCATAATATGATTATACCGTCCCAATTAAAACGAGTAGAGGCAGTAGAGTAAACATTTCATCTAATTAATACCTACTATTATTCATACTTACCTAAATAGATAAATATACACTACACATACCTACATTTATAAATTTTACGACTAATGTTGACAATTGGATCTATCCAGGTACGTTCGTTTATTTCGATATTTTAATTTTTAAACGAGATACAAAAATGTTTAAATTCATTAAAGGATTTTCAACATTTTTCTGGGGGGGTCCTGAAAAATCATATGTATTTAAAAGGTATTTATATTAATAGATGCCTCTTTTTCGGACAACTTTCTAATGAAATTATACCAGTATCTTGGGGTGTCCAGACCCCTTGGACCCCTCCGTAAATCCACCACTGTTTAAATTGTAATGTTTCGCATGCTTGTGTCTCGCTTGAAAATTAAAATTTCGAAAATTACCTATATCATTATATAAGACTCAAATCATACGTATGTGGACTCTCTGCAACGGATAATACCGATTATTCGTTATGGAAAGCCACAAGACATATGAAGAGACCTTGTGTTCAGGTACCACCCATCCGCAAAGAAGATGGCACCTGGGCTCGCAATGAACAAGAAAAAGCAGAAATATACGCTCGACATCTTGAACGCGTATTTCTACCAAACGCCATAGACTCTGAGCTTGACATTGTACTATGTCCGCAGCTTAGTACAACACGTAAAAAGATTAAAAATGTCACTCCATTAGAAGTTGTTAAAGTAATAGATGATAGTTTGAACCCCAAAAAAGCACCAGGCTATGATGAAATAAGTCCAAAAATACTTAAAGAGCTTCCTAAGAAGGCCATCATTCATCTTACGCACATATACAATGCTATTTTGCGTATGGAATACATTCCAGAACAATGGAAACGGGCACAAGTCATTATGTTGCTCAAACCAGGAAAACCACCAGAAGATGTCACATCTTACCGTCAAATATCTCTCCTTCCGAGTTTGTCTAAACTCTTAGAGAAACTTCTACTTAAACGTCTAAAACCAATTATAGAAGAAANTAGAAGAAAAACATCTTATACCGGACCATCAGTTTGGATTCCGTAACAAACATTCGACAATCGATCAAGTCCATCGCGTTACTAACGTGATAAGTAAAGCCCTTGAAGAAAAAGATTACTGCTGTGGAGTATTCCTTGACGTAGATCAGGCTTTTGACAAAGTCTGGCACAAAGGATTCCTCATCAAACTACGTGAACAACTGCCACATACCTGGTGTGCACTTCTTGAATCATACTTAACCGACCGTCAATTCCGAGTCATACATGAAGAAGCAGTAACCGAATGGAAAAATATATCAGCTGGAGTACCACAAGGTAGTGTCTTAGGACCTATTCTTTACCTACTTTACACAGCTGATATACCAAACAATGATAACAATGACACCATAACGATAGCTATGTTTGCCGATGATACGGCAATTTTGTCGACAAGTAAGAATCAGCTGACAGCAACTGACAACTTACAAGCATCAATTAATAACATTTTTGCCTGGACGAGACGTTGGAAAATTAAGATAAATGGCGATAAATCGGTACACGTCAACTATACGTTACGTAAAACTGAAAACATTCCAATTTTACTGAATCAAACTTTAATCCCACAAAAAGATTCAGCAAAATATCTTGGAATGCATCTTGACTCTCGTTTAAACTGGAAACATCATGTCCGTCAGAAAAAAATACAGATTAAAGAAAAAATGCGAAAGCTCTATTGGTTAATTGGACCCCACTCTGAGTTAACTATAGAAAACAAACGTCTACTATATGTAGCTATTATAAAACTAATTTGGACCTATGGCATTCAACTGTGGGGTTGTGTTAGTAAGTCTAACATTGATATAATACAACGATGCCATTCACCGCGATATGATGTTGCCTACAATAGCAGAAGAAATCCAAAAGTTTGCTCGTAAACACGAGAGAAGATTAGAGGACCATATCAACCCAATGGCCACCGAACTGTTAGACAACTCCAAAGACATTAGACGCCTTAAACGTCTGAAACCATACGACTTAGTTTAAGTGTTTAAATTAAGTACAGGAGCCACTTCATTGGAAGTGTGACTTNAGATATATCCTGTTAAACATATTTATAAAGACCATCAGGTCGTTTAAATAATAAAGCCCCAGGGCATTTAAAAAAAAAAAAAAAAATTATATAAGACCTAACCGTGGTCAGTACTCAGCACTCGTTAGCCGTTATCAAAAATCTGAATCATGAGCATAGCTGAACTAAAAATATTCTATTTTATTTTTAGTATTGTAATATAGAAATATAATAAAATTATTCGTCATATGCTTCGATCGGGCGCTGAGAGAGCGCAACTCATCAGCGCATCCAATTAAAATCGCTCCGCAGTGCCAAGGTCTAATTTCTTCCACCAATTGGACTACCAAGAACCATAGTTTGTTGGAGATGGGCGAACTATGACGCATTTTGGTTGCCGTCGACTTGCGGTCTTTCAGCGCTCGGAGTAATGAATCAAATAGGTACTAGAAGATTTCAATAAAATAGTCTTCAAATGAAAATTTCATAAGTCATAACATATTAGAAGTAAATAGGTGTAAACTTAAAGAGTCCACAAAAGCTATACATATACTTATGTCTCTTTACTGTCAATTGGCTAAACATTTTTTTATCATTCAAATAGGTATATAAGTGATAATATTCTGTAATAATTATATTAAATACAAATAAATTTAAACTTGATTTTCTCGAAATCAATAAAATATCACTTATACCCCTTGTGTTCTAGGCATCTCTTTTATAGTGTAAAAAAACAATATAAATATGAAGAAATCTTCATCAGAAAATTTAATAAATAAATATTTGTTTACCTACTAAAAAACTTCTGGAGGTATTATTGGAAATCTAAAGGGGGCTTATCATTTATGTTTACAGTTGAGCATTCCCGTGCCCTAAACATTCTAAAAAAAAAATTAAGGATGAAACATTTAAATTTAGCCTAAGGTAAGAGGACTAAGTCCCCCTCCACTATAAAAAATACTTCTACTAAACATATTCTGCATACCCCGTAAAAGAATCCTTTGGATCCCTACATACCATATACTATATAATACACCATATTGTAGTCTCCTATGTCTAATATATTTTAAATTCAAATCTTTAATATAAAATACATTCGTTCCTACCTATTTCTATAAAATTGTGTCTGTATCAAACAGAAACAAAAGTGTAATATTTTATATAAAACGAACATAACCTACTCATAATTTCCTCATAAAATTAATCAATTGCACATTTCAATACTGATAAACTACTGAAAATATTGTGAACAAAATTACTTTAAGGACAGTAGTAATAATCAACAATAAATGTACAATATAGAAAAACCATGATAGGTATTTATTTGACTGATTTTAACTTCTACTTGTTTTATGTTTTAATAATTAGAGTACTAAATTGCTAAGTATTATACAAATTTTGAATATAAGATAATCATCAAAACATTGAATCTTGAACTAAATATTTAAAAATATCATACATTATTTTGTTTCACATATTATCTCAAATGAATTGAATGTGGTACTATTTTAGAAAAATGCATTTATACTAAGAGTCTAACATATTATTATGTATGATAAATACTTAATGATAATACTTAACATAAAAGCTTTGATATAAATAAAAATATATAAGGTGCAAATATAACATAATATGAAAACAGAAATGCTAGCGTAATAAATTGCTTTCTTAATTTATATTATATTAAGTAATACAAATATTAAATGTAATATAATTATCAATAATCTTAAAACTTGAACTAAACTAGGTAGTTACTTAAAAATATTATAATAATTTTAAATGTTATAATATTTTTAAGTAACAACATAAGTATTTAACATAATATGTCAAACACTTTTAAATGTTTGACATATTATGTTGAATGAGTTGTGATACTATTTAAAAAAATGTATTTATGCTAACAGTCTAACATATTATTATGATAAATAATACATAATATACAAGCCTTGATATAAATAAAAAACTAAGTTGCACATAAAACATAAATGCTAGAGTACTAAACTTTTATTAATTTATGTTATATTAATACAAATATTAAAAATAATATAATAATCAATAACATTAGAACTTGAATTAACTAGGTAGGTGCTTAAAAATAGTATAACTATTTCATATGTTTGACATGTTATGTTGAATGAGTTGTGATAGTATTTTAGAAAAATGTATTTATACTAACAACCTAACATATACCTATTATTGTGATAAATAGTACATATTACATAATATACAAGCTTTGATATAAATAAAAAATGTTTAAAACCAAAACATTTTAAATCTACAAATAAATACATAGGTATGTCATCCAAATGTTATTCTATCAAAAGAAAATTAACATATATTGTTATAAATAATTTAAGAAATCATGTGAATCATATTAATTTGTAAGTTCGCATATATATATATATATATATATTTATTTATTTTTGTTTCATATTGTTTGCAAATATCTGTTAATATTTTAATAAATTAATAATAATGAAGTTTAAAAAACAAATGTATTATATGGAATATTTTTTTGCATTGAGTTGTTAATTTTAACAATTTGTTTGTATCAAATAAAATCATGTTTAATTATTAACCTACTGCAATTTACCATCTTTATCATCAGATGATACATCCTTCACTTCTATAACTTCTTCACTAGATTTCGCAGAGAAATAATCATCAATAACCTTGAACATTGCTAACATTTTCGTATGAGATAATGATATTTTAAGTTCCTTCATCAGAGCATCGATACTCATATCATTGGAACTTTGTTTATTGGATACATTTTCGGGCTCCTTATACTTTATGTGAGAAAGTGTTTCCGTTAATATTTCTTCCTGATAGTCGTCATCGCTTACATCCTCATCGACTTGTATTGATTGAACAGAATCTTGCAAGAGTTTAAAGCTTTTGGAAATTTGCTTACGCCGTTTAAACTTCATTTCAATTAGGCGTGTTCGCTTTTCTGTTGATTTCTTCTCAATATTACGATTATTAGCACTCATCTTAAATTGTATTACTGAATGTATTCAGTTATCTATCTAAATTAAAACAAATCAAAATAAATTACAAAGATGACACAATAATAAAATACTTTATTAAATGAAAAAATTAGGGTTGAGTTAAACATTATATATAAATCATAAATATTAGTGTTATACAATTCTTGAGAATAATCTATTAGAAAATATTCTCTGGACAAAATCATTTGAAATTTGCTGTTGCTTTTTTGTAATAATAATAATAATAATAATATATTGAAGCAACCAAAGTTACAGAATAAAGTAAAACAGTAACAGATTTACAGTTACATATTTGCATAAAATGTAATTGCAATGTGCACAAATATTGTAATTTGAATGTAAATATACTGTATGTATTGCATGACTTTAATATTTATAACTTGTAAGTATACATAAGAATACCTACCTACCTACTATAGGTGTTATGTATAGGAACTACTAAATTGTAACTAATATTTTCGATTTTTAATTTCTTTTTTAATTTTGTTTAATCTCAATCATAATATTTACATTCGAGAATTGTATGATACGAATATTCTACACTCTAAATACCTATATATATTATACCTAGTTATTACTTATTAGTCATGTACTATATTGTTAAGGTTTATGGTAAAACACTTAAGAGTGAGACATATTATGGCCAAGCGCATACTGACTCGCCAACATACAGGGATGTACCCTGTAGGTCCTTTTCTATATAAACTCTTCCTTTATTTACCTAGCTACGTTTTTGGTTTTTCATAACCTAAATGCCCTAAGTTACTCATTTCAGCTTTGTGATTTCTGGTATGTTTAATAATGTTTATAATTTGTATTCAAATATGAACTCCATTTAATAATTCACCAGCATAATGTGATAGTAATAAAACAATTTCTTACACGACTTTTGAGTTCATTTAATATATTCTGCACAATAATTCACAATTTGTTAATACGATACATAGATAATTATTTACTACTAAAAAAAGTCATCTATGAGGATAAAATATTATTTTAGATTCCGAGTGAAGCGAGGAATCCATTGGTATTTTATGACTGTATTTTTTACTGTTAAGACTATGAAAACATTATTCTTCTGTAGGTACCTATACAACAATATTAAGCAATAATAATATTTTGTAACCGAGTCATTGGACAAATTGTGCGACACCCAAGTGTGAGCACATCGTTGGGTATACATTGTTGCTATAATTTATATTTTCAAAATAAAAATACGTTTCCGTTTACGAGCATTTGATAATTTAATAATGAAATATTAAGCAATTGTTTTTTTTTAAAAAAGCCAATAATGCTGATGGGTGTGCCACTCTTGAATTTTTGTAGGTAGACCAGGAAAATATTATATAGTACATTATTATAGTAATTTAATTTTTTTTTTCATCCCCTAAAGACAAAAAAACAAATAACTGTTTAATTATTCGCTTTAGACAATGTTCAAAATAGCCATTTTGTAAAAATATTATCGGTCACAATTAACCTCGATTAATACTGTTCATTTCAACCAATGGTTCAGCCTAGCCCCGTCACTGGGTATATCTTTAGTTTAAAAGCGGACGTTCGACTTAAATACATATTTTAAATTAAACGGTTCAAATATGATAATATTCCGTCCGTGGATCGTTACGATTCCAATATTTATTAGCATAAGTCAAACAATAGCGTCGCGTACCGGACGTAAAATACGTCAACTAATATATTTTAATCTTACAAAATAAATAAATAATGATTATTTTATTTTGTGGGGTTTTAAAGCTGTTTTATATACGCGATTCGTTCGGAACCCATTCAACGAGCGAGATCTGGTGGTCAACTCTACACCAAAATCACCACAGTCGTACGGCGAAAAATAACCGCTAGATAACGAAACCATGTCAAGTATCGACCATTTAAATGATTTTCAACATAATGAGGACGCCACACCCACATTTATTATCTCATTTATATCAGTATACCTAAAAAAAAAAATATTATCTAAAATGTCGAAAAAATACATCAACTCTAGGACACAGATAATTTTCTTATCTTTAAATTTTATAATATTCTATAGTTATAAAATTATAATATTTTAATTATGATTTCATACAACCCGAAATCAAAAGATCAAAATACTGTAATTTCATAAGATGTTTAAATTGATTTTTTTTTTTACGAAAGCAAAAATACTTAATGTTTCCATTACGTAAAATTTACTCGACTCTCCAGAAGATCACTGGATTTTATTTCTAAAATATTTCGAATACTTTCAGAAAATTATGAATTTAAAATTGTATTTTCTAATCACTTGATACTGAGTAGTTTATACAATTAATACAGTAGCTTACTTACCCAGGTACCCGACTTTGAAATGTTGACTTAAAAATTATGTCATGAATTAGTTAGTAATTTGTTACTTGGGATTTAGAACTTGTGACCTAATTCCGGGTGCTAGAGTAGGGTGATCATACGTCCCGTTTAAAACGGGATTGTCCCTTTTTTGATCATCATGTCCCGTTGTCCCGAAAAACTTCGAACGGGACGCTTTTTATTCCGTGTTTAGAAGATTGTCCCGTTTTAATCCCGTTATTTCCATACAATTAAATTATAATTTATGAGTTTTTGTAAAAGAATAAAATAAATTTATGAACCAAATATAAAACAGATTATATTTAAAACTTGAAACCAAAGTTATAAATGACAGACTAAAATTTCCGTGGAACGAACGTCGAATGCCGATGCCGACGAGCAATACAAATAGTAATAATAAAATAAGATAAGCATGATACAAGTCGTATAGCATAGACATTACGAACTAAAATATATAATACTATTTATAATCGATGATATATTTAGATATTATTATATTGATTTGTTTAATCAAAAAGTTGAACAACAAAATATGTCGAATAGTAACGTACGAACAGTNTAGGGTGACCATACGTCCCGTTTAAAACGGGATTGTCCCTTTTTTGATCATCATGTCCCGTTGTCCCGAAAAACTTCGAATGGGACGCTTTTTATTCCGTTTTTAGAAGATTGTCCCGTTTTAATCCCGTTATTTCCATATAATTTATGAGTTTTTGTAAAAGAATAAAATAAATTTATGAACCAAATATAAAACAGATTATATTTAAAACTTGAAACCAAAGTTATAAATAACAGACTAAAATTTCCGTGGAACGAACGTCGAATGCCGATGCCGACGAGCAATACAAATAGTAATAATAAAATAAGATAAGCATGATACAAGTCGTATAGCATAGACATTACGAACTAAAATATATAATACTATTTATAATCCATGATATATTTAGATATTATTATATTGATTTGTTTAATCAAAAAGTCGAACAACAAAATATGTCGAATAGTAACGTAAGAACAGTAAGCGATTATGTTTATTATAGCCACTACGTATCGTGTTTTTTCTTTTAATTTTTGTGAGTTGGTGCATTATTTTTTTGTTAAAAATGCCAAAGAGGAGATGCACGTTTACTGAATCTTTACAGTCTGAATTTACTTTCCTAAAAAAATGTGAAGTGATTGGAAAAGTTTTTTGTACGGTGTGCAAGGCATTATTTTCAATCGAACATGGAGGACGCTCAGATATCAAACAGCATATGGAAAAGAAAAAACATACGTCGGCCTTATCTAGTACTTCAAAAAGTTACAAAGTAACCTCATATTTTATTAAACAAGGACCAGCTGGCTTAACTAGTGAAGGATTAAAAATTGCAGCAGAAGAGGGAATGTTTGCATTTCACACTATAGTACATAACCATTCTTTTAGGTCAATGGATTGTACTACTGCTTTAATAAAAATGTTACATGAAAAAAAGTTTTCTTGTGCGCGTACCAAGTGTGAATCAATTATTCTGAATGTATTGGCTCCTTTTGCAATGGATCAAATAATAGACGAACTAAAAGCTGTTAATTTTGCGACGGTTATGATTGACACTTCAAATCATACGAATTTAAAAATTGTCCCAATACTTATTCGATATTTCAATCCTAAAACGGGAGTTCAAATAAAAGTTCTAGAATTCACAAATTTGAAAGGAGAAACTTCGGATATGTTGTCGTCATATATTATGAAAATTTTAACAAAACATAAAGTGTAAAGACAAGATGGCTATCCTTACAACCAGCAGTCTCCAGAATTATTGAAATGTATCCAGCTTTAAAATTATACTTTGACACTCAGGATAAATGCCCAACCCTTTTAAAATCATTTTTAAGTGACCCCGTTGCAATAATATGGTTTCATTTTATACAAAGGCAATTAAAAATTGTTTGTGACACTATAAAAAGAATAGAAGGGGACAACATATCTGCATGTGAAGTATCAGAAGAACTAGAAGCATTATGTGGAAAAATAAAAAATAGAAAAACACAAAACTTTTTAACTTCCGGTGTAAACTCGATGATTTTAGAACTAGAGACAAAAAATAAATACACAAAAAAACAATTTATTGAGCAAACTAACCAGTTTTATGACACATTTTTATTTTATATTGAAAAGTGGGGAAATTCATTTGAAGAACTAAAAATATTTCGTTGGACACAATTGATAAATTGTCCAACATGGAATGATATTCAAAAAAGTTTAACATTTATTTTGCAAAATAATAAACAAACCGGTTGGAATGTGGATGAAGATATTCTTTTTGACGAAAAAAGTCGCTTTCTTGTTCCTACTATCAAATCAATTATAATTTTGAAAAATCATTTCAAAAAATATTCGTGTAATGATTTTTATGATTTTTTGCTAACACAACCAAAACTGTTAAACGCAATCAGTTCATCGCAAAAGTACAGTAACGACACATTTGATAATAAAGGACATGATGAGCAATCGACATCAACCCAATAAAAATAATCAAGTTTTGTATTAAAATATTAAGGAAGGTAGTTAAAAAATATTTTAATTTTAAATGTAACTATAAAATATAAAAAATATAAAAAAAAATGTTTATGTTTTTTTAGAGTATTTAAACTAAAAGTTGTTTGTCCCTTTTTTTTTTTTTTTGCAAAACTGGTCACCCTTTGCTAGAGTAAACTTTCCCCAGCTTTTCTGCAGCAAACTTTTCTGTTTGCTAAATGTCGGTAAATGTACACTGAAAATTTTTACCCTAGCGCCCGGAAATAAAAACGATTTTAGTGTGGTTAAAATGTGGTAACAAATTCTGAATTTCGAGTAACAAATCACAACTGTTAACACTAATTCACGACATAAATTTCAAAGTATGGTACCGGGGTAATTGAGCTCACTACAATGTGACATCCTAACAGAACCCGGATAGTTGAAAACGGTATCGCTGTGCTTTACGCAACGTGCGACGATGGCGCGTGATTGCCGTCAGCCGAGGCGGAGGAGGATGGCGCGTGATTGCCGTCAGCCGAGGCGGAGGAGGATGGCGCGTTGTCGTCGACGATCTGTATGGCATCGCCGCCATCACCGACTGTTGTGACTACACTTTGGCACAAACGGGTTCTTAACATATCCATCAGACTGTCCGGAAACTGTTGCCGTTGATGTCGCTGTTCGGCAGCGTGTCCGTCCGATCGGTGGTCGTTTGAGGTCGTCGTAAACATGGACGCGTCGTCCGTATTTACCGTCCTCGTCGCCGGTGCCGCGGCCGACTCTTCGCTTTGCACGGCCCATAGGGTCCATGGACTGTCATCGCCTGCACCGCGCCCACCGCTGCCGCGGCCGGTCACCACCGTCGTCTCGGAAATCGGGAATTCCGTGGTGGGTATGGGGTGTTCGGATTTGTGCAGCATCCACGGCATGCGGGGAGCGCTACTGAACCGCAAAGTGGCTGCCGAGTCGATGGCGGGTGTCTGTTGGATCTCGGACCATTTGGAAAAACACAGTTTTGTTAAAAACGGAAATTTCGATTCTATAAACAAAAAAAAGCAACAATATATTAAGAAAAACACATAAGCACCGGATGTCCGTTACTGGAGCCGAAACTATACCCAAGATGACTTCTTGTTGCCGTTACAATGTTAAATTTTTTTGTATATACATTTAATTAAACATTAAAATTGGTATCGAAACAAGATAAAGTAGTTCTCTAGATCTTCGTTAAAATACAGACAATATGGAGGGGGGTCTAAACCTACATCCTCAACAACAGTTCTCATTATATACCTATACACATTTTCCAGTGAAAACGTGAAATCGGAGCACAAAAATCGTTGAGAGTTAAAAATACTTAAATATCCAAAATGTCCTCCCCTTGGCTTCATTTGGGGAACCTGTAGGTATGTAATCGGGTACTTTCCTCCCAAAACAACATGCCAAAAATTATTGAAATTCAAACAAAATATCGTACGATTTCAATCCAGCTGATTATTTTCGAGGAAAATTTGATAACTATATGTAGGTGTAATTACATTACTGTCTGATAACATAAACGATCAATTATTATTGTTATCGAACGGATAACACCGTAATCGATTCGATAAAGTTATTGGCTTTTGGAAAAACTACTTGTATTATTCATCAACTCGAAAGATAACATATTTTCGGATAGAAAATTGGAAGGCCCGATTTTGCTTTCATTATAATATTAAAAACAATTTTATAACTCTATTGAACATTTGAACCGATAACCAGTATGACCTATATTTTACAATTTTTTCTTATCGTACAAGTTTCGGTATGTGTTAATTATTTCTCCATTTAACATTTTCCACTAGTATAATCATAACATGAAAATAAATTTACTTGAATAATTTGTAAAAACAATTTGTGTTTATCATCATGATAGCAACTGAATAATTATCATTGTAAATTATAATTCTATAGGTACCATGAAACCACAATCACGAAAATGTATATAAATATAGGTTTATGCAACCGTCTATGAATTTATGAGCAAAATACAATTATTTTTTATCCAATGCTTTATCGATATTATATCATATAGGTTCTCGAATTTTTTATTTTTAATTCTTGTATACAACTCGTTTTAAGTCTATTATGTGGGTATGATAACTGTGAAGTAAACGTGAGATAGATTACGAAACAGTACGCATGGCTGAAATTTTAGTATATTTCCCGAATAGAACATAAGGTAGGCAATTGCTGGTCAGTGCAGTGGTAGTGATATAAGACTTACGTTCTATTAACGGACCGCTCTGCAAATCGAAAATATCTTTAGATTTGTTACAAAAAATTACGATCGGGCATAGATCACAGGGGAAACAAACGAATGGGAAATTCAAAAAAATATGTCAGATTAAACAACGGTAATCATATGGGCGTGGGATGGAATATAACTGTATATTCCGATTTTTATATAAAATTATCATCAAGATCTACACTCTAATCTCGAAGAATTTTAACATCAATACAACTCAGCCTATAGGACGAAAAGTCAAAGATCAGCTAAAAATATAATAGTTGGATCAATAGTTGAATGCTAATTTTTATAAATAATAGTCATTCGTACGTACTAATAAAAACACTTTTTTTCCTAGAACTATTCAGGAAATTTACCATTCGGGAAAAATGACTATCGGGAATTGTTGGATACACTTACTTGTGGATTTCAACGTCATATGATTTGCCATCAAAACGGTTCTCGCAGCAAGCGCGATACTCTTGAGTTCAATCAGTCCTGTCGAACACTTGGCCATCCGCTTCATGGGCACTGTAAATGCGAAATAACGAATTAGTTTAGTTATGTAAGAGTGTCAAATTCATAAACGTACGAATTGTTATGGAATTTATGACGTCCACGCAACCGATGGCATCCAACACGGCTTTGTGAACGGTCAATCCACACACGTCGGTTGGCGCGTTAAAGAAATGTAAAATCTAAAAATAAATAAAGGAACAGATTCGTTTAGGACGTTTAAAAACTGTTCAAAAAGATGGTTTTAAACGGAAAATTTACTATAACATTATTCACGAAAAATAACGACAAATAATAGTCCACAAAAAAAAACTACAAATTAGAGTACGTAATATATCATTATTATTAATTGAATGTCTCCATAAATACAAGGTGATTAATACTCGATAAAATACTTATTATCTCGGAAAATATTTGTTGAACAAATTTGAAACTGAAAATGTATGAAATAAGGAGCTCTAAAATATGACATTAATTTTTAAAACAAACAAAAATGCCCGCTAGTGCCTTTGCCCATTGACCCCTTCATCAATTATATAATATTATTATAAAGATAAGTACTTTTGACGGGGCCGCGACTCGACGTCTGTCGTAGCAATTTCCATTGTCGGTGAACCTGTTCAGTTTGCTCGCTGAATAGATTTTGTGAGCAGGCGTGCCGTCCGGCAACGTGTTGAATGCTATTTGGTCGTGAATAAACGAATGTTTTGAATACCTGAAACCGTTCGTCAACGGTTTTATTGATTGTCATTGGATAATTGGATTTTAAAGTTCCAATAAATATATTAATATTACATTGTAAATACATTATTATAAACAAATAACAATATTATACTAATGTACACGGTCCGAAATTATGTCTATAAAACCAGTGGCGCCTATACCATTAACGAGTTTGCAGAAAATGGGTATCCAAAGTTCAAGACACAGTAAATTATTATAAGTAAGTTAGGTTAGGTATAAAATATTGTACAAATAATTATATTTACTGTTATTAGTACAAAATAATCGAGTATCATAATATTAATATAGGGTCATTTAAATCCGCACTCTAGTGCTAGGGTGCGGATTTAAATGATCCAAAAATAAGAAAAATGCCTTAAAAAAAAATTTTAATGTATTTTAATAAAAAGGTGGGAGCCGACTATTTATCAATACTGGTTCCTATTTTGTTTTTTTTTTTGTTTTTAAGCGTGATCACAATAGTTAGAGACCTCAAATAAAAAAAAAGTGACCAATTGATTAGATAGTAGTCATTTTTCAATCAAATTGTACCAGCCTTTGTTCTACTTTTAATCTATTTTCACTTCGGTCGTGACAGCCATAAGCACAGTAGGTGGCAGAGATTCTAACACAATTATAATAAAACACGACATAATAATATCGACAGGTATAATATAGGTATTAAAAATGTAAAAAAAAACTACACTGATACTTTTAAAATATTATTGAATTAAATACGATTTCTCACTACACTATACAATTTTTCTCCAAGTACATTATTTTATTATTTATTATCCGGATTTTAGTATGGTTAATATTTATATACAACGTGTTCTAATAATATTATAACGATTAATTTCACGGTAAATATTAAATGTGATTAAATTTAATAATATTATAAAAACAGCTTTTTTACAGCAATGTTTTACCCAATTTATTCTCAAACAATGGATTCCTTTGTGGTAGAGTTCGATATGGCCTATCCATTATAATAGCGTTCGTATATATACTCACTTGACTTTCATCCTGTGGTTGTCGTCTAACGGTAGTTGGTGTAAGTTGATCACGCACCGTTTAGCGGATTCAACGTCCTCCATCTCGACTAGCACCTTACCGTCCCGAAGCACCTTGACCGTGGTCACATTGCCGTATAGGCAAAACAGGTTGAAGACACAGTCACAGTTGATAGCCAGGATCTCCAACCCGTGTACGAGTAATATCCGGTTTGGCCGAGTCCTGGTGCACTCAGTTTTCACCATCCGGTCATTCGAACCGCCGCCTCGTGACGCTGTCCGCCAGTCTTCGTGGTTTCTAAAAAAAATCAAGCAGCGAGCGTTATTTAGGTGTATTTTCGCAAGGTTATTAACTACAATGTACTAATTTTTTGTTTCAAAATACGTACACCCTGCCGAAAGTGTTATTGTCCGCCATTCTATTCGGACGGCGTTCACGAATACCGTCGCTGTACGTCAACGGGATAAAGTCCGGTTCGCCGTGGTAACGGTTTTTCCGCCAGGAAGTGGTGTTCATGATGAGTTTTCCTGTTTCGATATGGACTTCAAGTACTAATATATGGTCGTGCGATGTGCGCATTTGCGTCGGAGCAAGAAATCGTTAAATAAACTACAATAATTACGTATCACTAAATACTAGACTATTGTTTATTGTGTGTTATTTTAAAAACTTTGTATGATTCTGTTTTAGTTTCTTGCGAGTAAACAAATGTGCGTTTTCATGGTTTCTATCTAAAATAACGTTACCCTACTACGAAAAAAAAACAAAATACACATATAAGGTAATATACAAAGCTAAAATCACTAGAGTAAAAATATTTCATCGCACAGTTCACTTAAATTGGATTCCATATTATTCTTATATCTTTCAATAATAATTGTTACCTCAGGACCTCAAGTACCTATCAAGATTTGCATTGCATTACGCATTGCTGATGTATTTGATCTTGGTTTTAGATTAATAAGAAATCTTAGTCCAAGTTCGCATATCACAATATTTGCTAGTAAAGCGTTTATAGTTTTAGAGTTTATGAATCGAAAAACGTTCAACTTGTAAAATCGTTAAAATATTTATATTGTGCTCTTTTAGAATACGAATCTGGGTTTTTTTGGATTCTTATACTGTTCCCGACTGATCAATTGGAACGTGTCCAACGTAAATGTTTGAGATTCACTTGTCTTGTTCCTTTTTCCCCACGTTACAATTATAACAGTATCTCAAATGTTCTTATCCTACACTTTCTGAACGCAAAATAATGTTAAATTTAAAATGTATTCATAATCAACTTGATCCAATAACAAACCAAAATGATCTTCTATTTTTGCTATTCCAAATAAATTGTATAGTCTCTTCGCATGTCTTTCGTTTTCAAAATGTCTTCCATATTTCTACATCGATCACACACTATTTACAAAATGATCTTTTGAGATGTATTATGTCTATTGCCAATGAGGACCTCTCATTTGTTGATTGTTTGTTTTAATTTTATTTAATTTTTGCACTTGTACTAATTGATATGTAGAATATACTATTTAATTAATGTAAAAATGAGGAAACCCATTGTTGGTTCTGACTGCTGATAAATACATTTTGGAACAACAGTCACACATCCGTACTACCGCGGCCGCTGCACAGTTGTTCTTACAGTTTTCCCAAATAAAACTGGGAACGGGTATAGTCTCTGTTGTAGATTAGTAAGGAAAGTGGTGTAAAATTATTTAATTTATACCTGTAACCAACGATCAACATTTGCTAACGAAAAACAATTTAGAGTGAAGTTTTACCACCGGGACGTAAAATATTATTATTACAATACTATGGTAAAGGTATTGATGATTTAGTGTGGATAGAAATCACTATTTTCTACATAGTTCGTTATCACTACATTTAAAAAAATTCGCCGTTTTGCTATGAAAAATGTTGTGTTATCGTGGTATACGTCACTTACCAAAATAAAATCATATCTGCAGGCATCAGTACAATAAGGAGCACGACGCTACTTCCAGCTACAGGTGATTTCAAAAAACTTTATTTAAATAAAATAAGTTTTTTGGTTACCGTATAAATATATTGTTTTTCTGAATTTATAATATTAAAATTGTATAAATATTATATTATTATTATTCCGGCCTTAACATTGAATAACACGATTAACATCGTTTAAGAATAAAACCTAATTTATCGTTGTTAAATGACTGTAACATATTAAAAAATACATTTAGAAAAAAAAATCATGCAGGTGCTTTTACTCTAAAACTAAAATTAAGCGAGTTCTACGAAGACTATTTAAGGTAGATTTTGCTATATCGCCCGTTAGTTAGAGTTAAACAGCACATGTGGGTGTAGCGTCCTCTTAATGACTTTTGATTTACCTATTTGTAACCCCGTATTTTAATGAATCGATAAGAATTAATATTTAGCTCATATGCCTGACTGGCTGGTATATACGACAAATCTTTATAGCCTACTTATATAATATATAAGTATAAGTAATAAAGAGTAATAATTAATTACTAATACTAATATAAGTAGTATTATATTAGTTCACATTTAAAAATTTGTTTAACAAATGTAATTGTATAAAAACATATTAGCATATAAAACATAATAGATAATAATAATATAATTTCAAAAATCGTAGAACCAAACGTTCTATAGTGTAAAATCAAAAAACCTCACGGACCAAACGTCCCGTGATTAATAACTTTTGGGAATCAAATGTCCTATCTTAATAATTGCCCGGAACGAAACGTCCTTAAATTAATTATTTTAACGGGTATGGAACGTCCATTTACCGTTTTTATTGTGGGGTTTGTTTTAGTCTTTTAGTTACCAGCAATATATCGAAATACCTAAACTCAGTGGCGTAGTGAACCATTTTTAAATCTTAAAAAAATCTAGAAGCAACGGCTTCTCGGAGTCCGTGTTTCGCCACTGGAAATACTAATAGCTATATTACGGAATATACATTCCAGACTCCGGGTTTGCGCGGTGTTTATATTATATCGATCTACGAGCGGTCGGGTGGCAAAAGGAGCGAGGCCGCCCTTATACCCTGTTATACCTGCAGCTATGCCATGGGAGGGAGCGAATACTTCCACCGCTGTCGCCGCCGCCATAGCCTCCCGTTTTATCAAATAAAATATATATTTTATAGTACGCACCCTTATGATGTATTACGGAGTTACTGTCGAAAACGGGCGAGTCCATTGTCGAAAATTCCGGGGTAAAGTACTTTCTGCAGCGGTGGCGTACAACGACCGGATTTCAGAAAATAACTTGCCCGCGGTACACTTGCAGATGAGGATGATAGAACCCCATATATTTTATTGGAAATATTGTCCGGTGATCTCAAGTATTCCGTAGAGAAATTGTTAAATATAACGAACCTCCCCCTCCCCACCGTAATTTCGTCATGTTCGTCGGTCCGTATATCACAGATTTACATATAGGTATAACACAGCCTTTTTTCCACATTTTATGAAATTCTACAGGAATAGGTATTTTATGATGATATGGCGTGAAAAGTTGTTTGCAGGAAAAAGAAAGGCCGTAATATTTTTTTACTAATACCTACATTTCTTATACATTTTCACGTTTTTTCTCCATTTTTCGCGATTTCGATTTCGTTTATAATTTATAAACTTAAAAACTACTGGACCGATGGTCTGCTTTGTCAGAAAAAGGTTTATAATTATCGTAATGCTATGTGGAGGGGAAAAACATGCGCAGAAGTGGACCTTTCTGTCCTGGGACAGACTATAGGTAACCTAACCAACCTAGCACCTCATCCTTTTTAATTCAACGATAATTAATATATGTGTACTGTTAACGATTTCATCCCAACAGTTTTGTCCCATAGTATAATTAAATAAGTATATACTTTTAATTTTCAAATAGGAACCTCCCCTTTTTGAACACAAATTTAAATATAGACTATTTTTCTAGAAATTTTGATATGCATAACACTAATATCAGATTTACTGTTTATGAGTTATAACAGTTTAAAGTTTAGACCGGAGGAGTAGAGAAGGGTAATAAATTGTCTATATTATGGATATCCATAATAATATGAATTTATTTTAGGTGTATGGAGTAGGGGTAAAAAATTAAAAATGATTTAAAATAAAGATCAAACGATTCATAATGATTAGAAAAACAAAAATCAAATTCGCTTAAAATCCTCTGAGATAATTGCTGGTTCACAATAAAAAAATCACTCTGTATATAGTATAAATATTCAGCAATCCTAAAAAAAAAAAATGCCATAAATCGAAAAAAAATGAGATTATACTGTATTACGTCTAACATTATAGTTTTACACGTTTCTATAGTAAAATCTCAATTTTTTTCGATTTACGGCGTTTTTTCTTAAAACGGCAGTATATGCTTTTTCGTACTGCATACTTTATATCAAATCATAACTCCTTCCCACTCCAAAGACAAAATTTCAGTTTTAGATGGGGGACAAGGGAATTTTTTAACAGCAAATTATCGAAAAATAATCGCTCGTAAAATAATTTGATTTTACGATTGTTTTTATGGATTATCATATAAATACAAATAGCCCGGTTATAACAAAGAATTTTTAAATGCAGCACTTTTTCTGAAAGGAAATTGGTGTAGGGAGGTACTTTAAAGAGATCATTTTTCGATTTTCTCATGAGTTTTCTCATCAAATGTGAAAAACCGAAAAAACTGAGGTAAATCAGGTAAATGTATGAAATATATTAATACAATATTACGATTTCTTTTTCTGTGGACAACTTTTCTACAAACTATTTGGCTCCGATTTATAATAATAGCAATTTTTCTGAAAAAAAAATTTGACTGGGAAGGTACTTTATTTTAGGAAAATCATTTTTCGATTTTTCCAGCAAATGTGAAAAGCCAGGAAACACGTAAGAAAACCGGAAAAATCAGTACAACATTAAAAAATATTATTAAAGAAAATACATAAGGCCTATTTAATTATTTTACTATAAAATGACATATATATTGTTGACAAAGCATCACTATCAAATGAACTCCGCTCAGAATCGTTTTTTCGTAAGCAATAGTTTATCTCGTATACATTAAATTACCTATAACAGTGGCTATACCCGTCTCCATTATCCTAGAACGTCTTTTTAATAATGCATTAATTTATAAATTAAATATTTTACTTATTATTTCTAGTGAATAGATACATTATTACAATTTAAAACGATTAATCTAGTTGGTTTTACTAGTTATTTTAGAGATAACTTTTTTTATCATTTGTCTAGATAAGGTAAAAGATAAAAAAATTAGTTTGTATTTATTTAGTGTAACGAGAAAAAAAAAGTGAAAACTTACTTAAATCTCTCGAAATCTCTAGACCTATACTGCGAACTATTATTATAAATATCAATTTACAAATGATAGATAAAAAACAGCGTATCGTTTTTAATCACAATGTAAAACCCGGGTGCCAAATGCAAGTAATACTAAAAAACGCACAATATAAAACTGATGGACAGTAAGTACTCAATATATAGTCGCGTCTGTCGCTGATGAAGAACTCGATCAAAAGTGTTTGTCAGAAAGCCTTTTATGTA